TCTTCGGCGCCGAACCCGTGGCCTCAGACTGGGTGGAACTCGAACGGATGGGGCTCTTCCTGGTCATGGCAGCAGGCTCCGAAGCCGGACTACTCGGACCCGCCTTCGTGGCCCGGATGGGCCCACCGACGTTACTGGGTGCAGGCCATCCGCCGATGGGACAAGGTGACGGACCTACCCAGGAGATCTGAGAAAGTGCTTCGGTGTTTGGGCTGGGAACTGCAACCGGACATGGAGCACATCCCGGAGCACGTCTTGGCTTCTGCTGCTTACCTGGATGCGATTTTGGGAGTCCTGGACATGAAGTCGGGTGTCCGGGAGGATGATGAGAAGAGGGAAGCCTTCAGAAGTCTGTTCTACCAGTCTCAACGACGACGTGAGGAGACATTAGCCCAATAAGCAATGCGCAAACAACAAGACTTCATCAAGGCCTCCACCTTCGGCATCTCCGTTCCCGCGAGCCTACAGGCGATGCTTATGAGAGAAGGGGCCTCGTTGTCTGACCAGAATCAACAGAACCTGACGGCTCTACTTCAGGGCAAAGACGAGGACCCGTATGCCATGGCCAAGTGTCTTGGTCAAATGGACGTGAGGGCTGATCGCCTTCACGCGTTCGCGCACGGCGAGGTCTCCGAGGAGAACGGGGACTTCAACGCCTACGGCGAGGACGACGCGGACGAGAACGAGGAGGACGACCTTGAAGATGCGGCGGTGCTGGCCGAGTTGGACAACCTGGACCTGAACGAGGACCAGGTTAACGAGGTCTTTGCGGTGATCGCCCAGCAGTGGAAGAGGAGAACATGGAAGGAGAACAAGCTCTACAAGGCGGAGCTGCGCAAGGACAGAGGCACGTTCTCAAAGGGAGTGAGCCGGGAGGATCTGAAGAAGATCAGCAAGTGCCGGCTGTGCCACAAGAAGGGTCATTGGGCAGAAGATTGCCATCTCAACAAGGAGAAGGGAGCCCCGTCGGGTTTCAGCTATGTGCCTGGGCCAGGGTGCGGCTCATCGTCGGGCTCTGGCTTCAGCTTCATCTCCCTGGACGACATCTACCAAGCGGCAGCGGTGGCAAAGGAGAGGCTCTCTCAGGCCTCCGGGTGTTGGAGCTTCTTGTCGCTCAAGGCGGGCGAGGCCATCCTTGATATAGGAGCAACCCAAGATCTGATAGGGAGTGGAGCTATGCATCAGCTGACTCAAGAGCTCAAGGCAAACGGGCTCCGACCGGTACCAATTGACGTTCCTCTTTCTTCGCCGTCAGGCGTAGGAGGATCTGCCAAGGCCGTCAAGGTCATGATCGTTCCGATCGCCCCGGCCGGGGTTCCCGGGGTCCTACAGATGACTGTGCTGGAAGAAAGCATTCCTCCACTGTTGAGCGTGGGATTTTTAGAGTTCCTGAAGACCTCGAAGAGGACTCAGTGGCGTTTCGCCGGCTCGGGGTAACTATGCCTCTCACCAAGCAGCAGATCAAAGCTGAAGACTTTCAGTGCCCCTCGACCGCGTACATAACAGAGAGTGCTGGTTCTGAAGGTTTTGGAGTTCGGGTTTTCGAGCATGAGTTGCATCGAGAGAGTCACGATGAGCATGCTGACAGTCCTCTTGCAGATCATTCTGTGTCAAGCGTTGTGTCGAGACCTGAATTACCTCCTCCCGGCGACGCTGTGGGCTCAGAGTTAGCATCGAGCGACTCTTTTCTCAATTCGATATCCTCTCCCGAGCAGCAGAGCTTCGCTCTTCATGCTCGGAGAGGAGCCTACGACTATGGAGGGGAATGATCCAACGGATTCTCTTCTATGGGCAGCCGCCTGCGCAGAGGAAATCAGTACGCTTCCTGGAAGGTAAGAGCCGGGCCACCTCCAGCAGCTCTCCTCCGTGCGCGCTACCCGAGCCGAAGGCGCCTTCTCTGAGTCAGGCGATGGGGAGCGATGGATACCGTCCTACTCGCCCGGCTCGCCCCATGACACAGGGTCCCATGGAGAACGAAACCATGACGGTGCTGCAGGCCATGCTGCAGAGCTTCCAAGACCAGAGCCGCGTGGTTTCTCAGGCGATGGGATCGATCAGCCGCTCCCTGGAGGACTTGTCCAAGGGCCAGGGCCAGCTCCTTCTGATGGCGCAGGACAACCTGGAGAAGCCCATGTCGGTGGACCAGATCAGCGTGATGGCGAACCAGGCGGCGGTTACGACTATGGATGAGGACAACGACTCGGAACTCGACGAGCCCAAGTGGCAACGAGTGGAAAATCCCAACGTCCAGTCTCCCGTGCTGGACTGAACTGGCCGTCTTGGATGACCGCCACCATCATGACAGCGACCTCGGTCCTATGCTGGAACCAATGCTCAGCCGAGTTTCAGCAATCGCTGGATACCTTCGGCTATGGGAAAGAGTCTTGGGTGGTCTTCCATCCTCAGGGCGGGGATTACGGAGCTCGTCCACTACGCGATCATCAAGCAGATGGCCCCGATCCCAAGGCAGATGGTGGAGACTGCAGGCGTAGAGTGAGCGATCGTCCAGCAGATGACCCTGATCCCGAGGCAGATGGTGGAGATAGCAGGCGTAGAGTAAGCGATCGTCTAGTAGATGGCCCTGATCCCGAGGCAGATGGTGGAGACTGCAGGACCAAACCAGACGATGGTCGTAAAGCGCTACAGGGGTCTGGTGGGTACCTGTCGACGGTGTGGCAAGATCTACTACATGAGGTGACTGGTCCCGCCAAAGATATCACAAGCTCACAGTGTGGACTACGGCATCCGACTCCAGTGGAAGCGTGGTGTACTCTGGTCCCGGAGAGCCTCAAACCGTGGCGTCGACTTTGTCATCAAGCCCGGCCCAACAAAGGAAGATGGAGCGGGGTGCCTAGCCGCGAGCCGTCTTCGAGCTATGGCCCGGGAGCAGGAGTGGGAGAAGCATGGACATTCGGCCAGCTTGGCGGTTCTAGGACTATGCCCCGACCTGCTTAATAAACTACGAGCTCAAGGACTGTCAAAGTGACTTCGAGTACCTCCTACAGGAGAGCGCTGGCTGGGACGTTCGCAAGAAGGAGCACCGCGGCAGGTTCCGGAGCCACCTAGCTAAGCAGCAGCCCCGACTCCTGATGATGCAACCTCAAGACGGTGACGAAAATCCTCTTCGCAGTGAACTGTCGTGGAACTTCTGTCTACAGGCGGCTGAGCAACAGGAAGCTCGAGGTGACATCTACGTCATTGCCGCTCCGAGCCGCTGCAAAATGTGGGCGTCTTCGGGGATCCAGTCCAGGCTGAGGGCCAACTACTCCTGCCTGGTCTCCTTCGGGGCGAAGGCGGGGACTGGTGAAGGCTGGAAGCTCATGTCCAACCACCTCAACTTCGCCAATGTGTCAGACGAGTTCTACCACCTCCCGAGGCAGGAGAACGAGGGCAACTTCCTGTCTGCGTCGCCGTCTCGGCTGGAGAGCGAGCTGTGCGCCCAAGGCCTACTCCTAAGGAAGGACTTTGGGGACCGGGCATGTCAAGGGCTCTTGCGACTGGCGCTCGAGAAGGAGGACGCTTCCAAGAGGGCAGCGGCCAGCGCAGGCGGTCGTGGACGCAACTTGGTCCTCGGCGGCTTTGTTCATGGAGGAGTCTTGGGCATCACCCGGGAAGGTCGCGAGAGGCCATGGCTCACCAAGTACTTGTGCGAGTTCCTCAGAAGTAAGGGAGATCATGAGCCTCACACTACGTTGTCGGTGAGTCTCAACACGAAGTTCGAGATGCATACTGATCGCCACAATCGGCCCGAATCGGTCAACGTAGATGGTCGTCGACTACGAGGACGCGTTCTTCCGACGCGAGGGAAGCTGGTTCAGTTTTCCCCGAAGGACTTTCACAAAACGGAGTCATGGACCGGCCAGAGATGGACTATCACGGGCTACTCCATCCGAGGGGAGGAGAAGATCAATTTGCAGCAGCGCCGAGCACTACGAGGACTGGGTTTTCGACCCAGCGGGCGGCGACTACCTGGCGAGCTGTCAAAGCAGATGAGCTGGGCGGCTGGATGCTTGTTGTCCGGCGTGAACTACGAGGTTCGGAGCTCAGCAGCATGTTTGTTAGGCGAGAACGAGCACGAAGAGGAGGATGATGAGGACCTGCCCATTAACGGTCCTCCGAACGAGGCGGAGTCCGAGCCTAAGAGAGTTACCGAGTCCCAAAGACGTCTTGTACGAAAGCTCCACGTGAATCTGGGGCACCCGCCTCGTGAGAGGTTCCTCCACATGCTTCGAGCAGCAGGGGCCCATGAGCACATTATCTCTCATGTCAAGAACGATCTGGAGCGCGAGGTGTGTGACGTTAAGCGCCGTCAGGACAACCGTCGACGAGCCCAGTACCCCAAGACCTTCTCTTTCAACCGGGTTCTGTGTGTGGATGTCCTGTACCTGAAGTTCCGTGAACTCAACGTCCCGATCCTCAACATGACCTGTGCAGGGACCCATTATCAAGTTGTACAGCGACTTCCGATACCCTCCGGCTCGTCAGGAGGAACTCCCGCGGCAGAGACAGCTTGGCGGGGATTTGCCACCTCGTGGCTCAGATTCCTAGGCGCTCCGAGCCTCATGATCACCGACTCTGGAAATTAATGAGTTCAAGGGCATCTTCGAGAGACAGTGCGAATCCATGCCATCCTCCAACATGTTACTATCCCGGAACAGCCGTGGAAGAACGCTTTTGCAGAGCGCCGCGGCGGCTGGGTGAAGGAGAAGTTGGAGAAGGAGATCGCCAGCGGCCAATGTTCCTTTCAGACTCTGGAAGAGCTCGACGAGTTCCTTAGTGCCCTTACCTCAACCAAGAACCGATGGCTCCAGAGATCCGGCTGCACCCCAACGGCACTGGTCTTTGGAGAGCTTCCTCGAGTGCCTGGAGAACTGTTGGCCGACGACGAGATCAGCGAGCAGGCAGTGGCGGACGCATACTCGGGCCCCACCGGTCTGGATCAAGCCGCTACTGAGTTCAGGCGGAAGCTCGAGATACGAGAGAGGGCCCGATAAGCGGCGATGGCACAGACTAGTCGGGAAGCCTTCCAGAAGGCCGCCAAGGCAAGCACACATCAAGCCCGCCGATGGACCGCCGGGCAATGGGTGTACGTGTATCGTCGAGGGCGTCCCAACAGCGTTCTTCATCCTCGCGATCGTTGGTGCGGCCCAGGGATTATCGTCCTTGTGAGTCAGAAGGGCATCTACGTGGCAATGAGGTCGAGGCTGTGGAGATGTGGGTCAGAGCAGCTCCGTCCCGCTCATCCGAACGAGATGCTCGGGGCGCAGATGGCGGAGGATCCTGGCTTGGCCGAGATCCTTCGAAAGATCAATTCCGAAGCCCCGCGCTCTGTTGAAAGGGTTCCAGAGAGAATGCTAGAGAGAACCCGCCAGGCCTCCTCCCAGAGAGCGAAGGAATAGGGCCACCGCCTGGACTTCACCCAACGCTTCCTGGAGCTCCTGATCAAGCTCAAGGACATCCAGGCAGCGCCGCAGGCTCGCGTCGATCTTGAGTTGAAGAACCGGCAGCTGAGATGGAGCCGCCAGCCGAGGCCTCTGGTAGATCACTGGAGAGGATCCTCGAGGACTCATCTGAGGAGGAGTCCCCAGAGCCAGCTCACAAGGTGGCGCGCTTGACTCCTGAAGACGAAACACTAGGAACCAGGGCTCCAGGGACTCCTGTGGGAAGGTTGCTTCAAGCCATTCCTCGGCTCCCACCCAGTGGCAGCTCTTCTGTCGCGGGGCAAGCTTCCACCTCCTCGACTGCGTCGCCTCTGACTCCAGACGAGCAAGTGACGGGCTCTGGGAGAGTGGGCCAGCAGATTGCCGAGTTCGAAAGCCTCCGACCTCATCGTGAGCAATCACCTCGGCGAGGCAATGAGGCCCAGGACGGGGGACGCGAGAGATCGGAGTCCTTCTTCGGCTACCTCTCTGAGTCCAAGAGCTGGGGAAGGCTCTCGCCGAGGAGGAGCGTAAGCTCTTCGAACAGTCGGACAAGGTCGAGTGGGAGGCCATGCTGGCTACTGGAGCGGTGCGAGTACTGACGGGCAAGGAAGCCAGGGAGGCCCGGAGGAAGTTCCCCGACCGGATCCTCAGCTCGAGAATGGTCCTTCCAGACAAGCTCAACGCCTGGAAAGCCAAGTCCAGGTGGTGCATCCAGGGCCACTCGGATCCCGACACCTCCGAGCTTCAGACTTATGCCCCGACGCCATCGACCGAGGGCCTCATGATGTTCCTTCAAACGGCTACCAATCTCCGCCAAGAGTGTGCCTTTGCAGATGTCCGCAACGCCTTCTGCCAGTCCCTGCCTTTGTCTCGAAGCAAGGGACCGTTGTTTGCGGAAGGATGCGAGGGGCTGAATCTTCCACCCGAAGCTCTCATCGCCCTGGATGTGCCAGTCTATGGGTTGGATGACGCTCCAGCGGCTTGGCGTAAGACGGTCGTCGACTTTCTCCTGAGCATCGGCTTCATCCGGCACATCACTGAGCCCTGCTGGTATTTGCGCTTCAACTCCGACAAGCAAAACGAGGCTCAGGTGCTGGTGGAAGTCGATGACCTGATTGTGGCCACCAACCCGGAGGTCACTGAGTCTATCAAGAAGACTTTCCAGGAGCGTTTTCACTTCGGGAAGTGGGAGTACGGGGAGGCCGAGTACGCAGGCAGGAAGGTCGTGATGGGCGACGAGTTCACCACCGTCTCCCAAGAGAGTACATCCTGAGCAGGTGTTCCCGATCCAGGTGGCTAAAGGGAGGCGTCAGCTCAAGGACGACAAGCTCAACGAGGAGGAGTTTGGACTTTTCCGCTCCCTGATCTATAAGGTCAACTGGCTGGCGCGAGAGAGCCGTCCAGAGGCAGCTGGACTGGCCTCCATCATGGCGTGCAGATTACCGCATGCCCAGCTGAAGGATATCTTCACGATCAACAAGTACGTGAACCACCTGAGAAGCACCGCGGCGCGTGCCATCAAGATCTGGAGGTTCGAGCCAGAGGAGATGGTCTTCATCTCAGTCTCGGATGCCGGAGGAGTCACTGTGAGGGAAGGGGAGACGGACGAGGAAGGGCTCCCTACGGACGCCGCTCAGGGCGCATGGGCGGTCTTCACTGCGGAGGGGCATCCTGTCGGAGCCCAGCAGGTGAAGGCTACGCCAGTAGCCTGGCGCAGCAGTAGTAAGCTGAAGAGGAAGGTCTTCAGCACCTTCGGTGGAGAGACGCAGGCCATGCTCCAAGGAGTGAACGAGGTCGAATGGCTACAGATCATGTACCGCGATGCGATCTTCAATGACATCCAGCTGGACCAATGGAGAAACAGCCTTTCTCCGCACCTGGTGATCATGAAGAGTGCCGCTCACCTACCGGCTCGCCAGCCACAGATTTCCGTGACTGACGCAAAATCACTCTTCGACTGCCTACTACGAGAACATCCTCAAGGCCGTCAGGACCGCAAGTCCGCTCTCGAGCTGGCAATCATCCTGCGAGATCTTCAGTCCACTCGAAGCTCAGTTCGATGGACCCCTCACCAGAAGATGGTGGTTGACTGCCTCACCAAGGACGAGAGGAGCAACGGAGCCATGGAGATGTTTCTTAGGACAGGGCGTCTAGGCTTTGTAGATGTCCAGGAAGAGTTAAAATGCCGCAAGGAAGATGTAAGTTTTCGAAGGCGCAGCCATAAGGCATCGTTGGAACGACTGAGTCGTGAGTACCAGAACAACCTGGTGCTTCTTGTACAGGCGCTTTGGTCAACCCTAAGTAGGGGGAGCTGTGTTCACTTTACTCAGGAGACTGACTGACATGTTGACCAAAGCTTACGATGCGTCGCCACCGATGGTGGCTCAAGCCCGACAAAGCATAGCTGCGGCCAGTGCAAAAGGATGTGCACGGTGCGTCGCTTGCCGCTAGCTGCACACACTCCTTAAGATTGTTCTTCTTATTGGACTTTTGGATACTTGATTGGGCCTCACTTTACGTAACTTGATCATGTGGGCTCCCTATACAAGGGGCTTTCCAGGGTTTAAAGATACTTGACGGGCCTGACTTTAAGTGAATTGATCATGTAGACTCCCTGTGCACGGGGCCTTCTAGGGTCGGAAGGGATATCCATGAAAAACCCGGAAGACCTAGGAAACCCAGAAGAAACCCCGAAGAAACCCATGGACTCAAGTGTTTAATCAAAAAAGAGTTCTTGCATAATTAGGGGGTCCAAATGATCTATTTACTTAAACTGGGGCCCGTCCTATGTTCAGGAAAAAAAGAATGCTGTTGATCCGTCGGGTCAAATTTACTGGCAGGCCTCGGCACATGCATGGCATGCACACAAAGCAAGACAACGTGCCCATGTAGGTATATGGTGGTGGACTAGGTATGTAGTATACTATACTATAATTCTAACAAAGCATACTACTGTGCATCATGAGCAGCAGAAGGACAGCCGGGGGGAACAAGGGGAGCAGCTGATGTGCATGATGCTGGTGCGGGGGCCAGCATCATGAGCATCAGGTGGTTCGGCCGGGCGTGGCCGAAAAGTTGTGCGAAACGACAGTGACAAGACGTGTGTACGCACCCGTCAGCCGACCAAGGGATGCAGCTGCTGTTAACAGCGCTGGAAACGCATGCAGCCGAAGCCGTCCCAACAACACGGGCATTCGCGATGATGTTGAAACCGTGCACCAATTTTCTCACCCCCCCCTCCCTCACCCTCCCCCGACCCCCCTACACCTGTATGTACTATTCTTCGAACGGCAAATCCAAGACACTGCAAGGCGCTTTCGGTCATCGGAGTTCCCGCAAAACAAAGCCTCAGGACCGAAAGCAAAAAGCAACACACACCCAGACACACACACACACAATATGTGACAGTTGTTGTTGGGTTAACTTTTGTCGAAGCCAAACCCGAACCTCAACTTGCCATTGGCAATGACACCTATCCTTCGACACCTAGCCTTCGACACGTAGCCTTCGCTTCCAGCAAAGATCAGCCAACAATGCAATACCGAGACTAAAATGCCCGTGTATGTTTCCAATTGCAAGGGACCACAAACTGAAGGTATGCATGCAGCTGGGCCGAATTGCGAACAAAAGCAGAATGTAATATTCGGGACAGCAGCAACGTGGAATATTGCCATGTGGCAAAATGTGCGTGGGCACAAACTGTGCCCACGCTATGCCTACGAAGCGCATTTTGGGAAATGTGGATGCGTAGACATGACCCGTGCTGGATTCCTGTTCCCAGCTGCAGCCTCCCCGCCTGGTTTTCGAGTCACAATACATTGGCAGGCTACAGCCTCTTCTGAGGGCTTCACCCCGAAGTGTCCTGAGGCTTCAGAGCGATGTCGAGAATGTGCACTTCTTCATGTCGATGGGCCTGGGATACTTGATCTCCAGCGTGGGTACCTTGACGGTCATTAAAAGGATTCTGTTGGCGCCTTCTCGCTCGGGCACCCACGGGCACCCAGGCCAGTTTGTGGCCGGAATCACCGTGGCCATGATGCATGGACCCAGGCTGACGCTGTCTGTCTGTGCCTTTCTGCCCCTCCTATTTTGTGCGGGCCGGAGCATGGGCCAGCAGCTGGAACAACAAATGGGCAGACAGCAGCAGGACGCACAGCAGCTTTTGGACAGCAGCTGTGTTTGAGTTGAAGCTTTCTGCAAATGCGAGACGAGTGCTCGGCAGGATTTTGCCAAGGCAGCCGCTGTGGCGAAGGACTTCGGAACAGCTGGATTAAGTACTGCAGGCTGTCAGCTGCAACCGATACCTTGAAGGAAAGCATCCTGAAATGGTCGTGTGTTCGACTACACATGAACCGGTGAACCCTCGTAGCAGGAGAGCCTGATGGGCATTCGTACTGTGGCGGCCTTCGGGGGCGAGCTGCGACAACAGGAGCCAACTGAAAAGCTGAGCACAACACATGTTCGGGATTCCGGGGTTTGCTGTTTTGCCCACGCCAGAGACAGCCTTGGGCACCTAAGGAGCTTTTCGCGAGCCAGCTGATGCAAGCCCGGGACGGGGGAATTCGCGCTGGCGTGAAGATCGGCATGTCCTGGGGAGTTCTTAACTTCATCTTTGCTTCACTCTATGCAGTCACGCTCTATGTCGGGGGCCACGGCCTTCTGACCGGTGCCACCAGCAAGCAGGGTGGAGATGTGGTTACCGTGCTCATTTCGCTGATCACGGGCATGGGCGGTGTGAACTCCTTCAGCGGCTATCTCCCCACGATGACCAAGGCCTTGGCCTCCGCGGCTGCACTGAAACTAGGCCGAGGATAGCTGCCGAAGACTGAAGCCCTTCAAACCCCTGCAATCCCTACCCTATATAAATACTAAAGCAGTGACCATGCCAGCGTAGACCGCCGAGAGCAACCTAATTACTAGTAGTTCCAGCTTGAGCTTCCGAGTAGGCTTGCACTGCCGAAGCATGGTGCAGGGTTGCGGGCTCGGGCTCCAGGGTTACTACATGTTTCCGAAGCGCACCGCCACAAAGGCATCTCTGTGCGGGTTTAGGGGTTTGGTGGTGCTGGAGGTTGATTCCATATCTGAAACCCGATAGGATGGCGATTGATTTCATATTTTACTTGAAGCCGATCCTTCATAATTCAATAGCGAGTGGTCGAATATCTTACACCCGACCCCTCACGAGTTGATGGTGCACTCCCTCAATAGGCAATGGTGGCCTATCCCATATCTTAAGCTCTTATAGTCTTACGCAATGGCGGTTGATGCCATATCTTAAACCAGGTCATGGCACATAAGCCCCACCTGTCATGTGGCCCTCAATGCCGGTTGACTCCACATCTTCAACCACGTTAGGCGATGGCGGTCGATTTCGTGTTGTGAACGCCCCTTGTTAGGCGAAGGCGGTTGATCCCATGTCATTAGGTGATGGCGGTTAACCCGGCCCCTCTTTAGACGATGGAGGTGGGTCACATTTCTTTCACTCGACTCCTCATTAGGCGATGGTGCTTGATTTCATATCTTACGGTCGACCACTCATTAGGCGATGGCGATGGCGGTTGATCTCATAAGTTAATCCCGACCCTTCAGTAAGCGATGGCGGTGGATCCCACATCTCAAACCCGAAACCGCTGTAAATACTCTAAGCACGAGAAATCCATCGCGGTGTTGCCACAGCGCTTGGGCAATGATAACGATAGCTAAGGAAGCAGGTGATGGTGGCCGAGGCTCATGACATCGAGCCGGAAGGCTGCTGTGACCACGTTTAGGTTTCAACTTGAAGCTTCGCAGGCTGGTGGCATGGCGTGTTGAGGCTTTAACAGGTTTGGCACCGTGGAGATGATGTGTGTGTTCAGACCCTCTGCCGACATTGCTGTCGAGAGCCAAGTGCGAGTTGCAAACGAGGGCGGCATTGGCTTGACCACGAACGGGGCTTGAACTCTTAGCACTGCCCTTCAACACCAAAGCCAGCATCCCAGCCCAATGCCATGCCATGCCGTGCCTTTCAGGCTTCAAAGCTGGAGAGCTGCCGCAACACCTCCAGACAGTGCAGAGCCTGGAGTTCCGATCTGTCAGCTTCAGCTATCCCACGAACCCGGAGAAACGTATCCTGGACCAACTCTCCTTCCAGGTGCGGAAAGCGTTCCGCTGAGCGTCCGATGTTTGGCGGCTAGGGGGCTTTAAGCTCTTTAGGTTTGCTTTTGCAGGCTGTTCAATGGAGGTGTGAACCCTCTTAAGTTGACTCTTAAGTGACCTTGGTAATGAAGGCTTTGTGGTCGCAAGCTTGCTGTGCAGGTGGTGAAGGGGCAAAAGGTTGCCTTCGTGGGGGAGAGTGGCTGTGGGAGACGGAGCTGCAAGTGATTCGTAGGCTTCCTTGCAAAGGAGTCCTTAGTTCGACGAGGCAGCCCTTAAGTGTCAGTGCACAGGCAACCCAAACTGTCGCTTCGCCCAGCGATGGGCACAAGGCAGCCAAAAGGGCAGCAGCAGAAGAACTGCAGAAAGAGCGATCAACAAGGATCAGTGTCACTAGCACGATTCGCCCCGACATGACTCAATGCACGAGTAAACGGCAGAATCTTCAAACCTGGGTTTCAGCCAAGCGATCAAAGACAACCTGATCACCCCATCCAAGCCTAGCCTGCGGGCTGCATTGAGGCTTACGGCATGGTGGTACGTTCTGAGGACAAGCCCAAGCAATGTGACCCAACTACCCGATGCCGTATGACAAAGGGGGGGAAAGTTCTGTCTTCATTAGCGCACAGGAGTAAGCGACCCCACTGAGGACCGTAAAGGTGTTTGGCAACAGCCGTACCCCGGGCATGAGCGCACTGTTGCTTGTTGTACACCGAACCACGACACACGCGACTGTCAGAGCCAGCACGACCACGCAATGTTCCGGTCTCCGCTGTCGAAAAGAGCGGAAAGCAGAAGTGAAGGGAGGACACGAAGCCGACAACCAACAGTGTTGCAAGTTCTCTGTCTCTGTTTCCCGAAGGAAGAGCACCACAATCCAGCTTCTGGAGCGGTTCTACGATCCAGATAAGGGGGAAATCCTGGTCAATGGCATCTCGCAGCTGGCCTTCCAAGTAAATGCTGGTATAACTGCTGCGATGCTACAACCAGTGATTGCTACTACGATTGCCGCTGCTAGGTTGCTGCTAATTCTGTGATACCTGACAGGTCCAGGGTCGGGATCATTACTGCTGGCCCATCAGAGGGCATAGCCGAAAAGGGTCCTGAATCGGGATTGCCCAGCCTGCGACATGCGTGGACTTTGCCTTATGCACATAAAGCCCCGTGTTGCATCTGAGCAGCATGGCGACGAGACTCATTTTCGCGGCCACAAAATTCTGATTGGCTGCACTAGTTCCTTTCATGTTCATGCCTTTCGACCCGAGCCCAGGCTGCGTAGTCTGCCAGTGCGTGCTTGGCGGAGGTTGATCGGCTACGTTGGTCAGGCGGGTGCGGGTGGCGGCAGATTTGCCAGAGGGGGGCGAGCAGAAGTTCGAAATTTACAGCACACAAACGAATCTAGGCTTTCTGCCCAAGTCTTCGAACTACCCAGACCGAGATACCAGAGAGTCCTGAACACCCGCTTCTTGGGTTGAGTAGGGGTATGGGGCGAGCCCCGTGATATCCCGTGATTCATGATCTGTGGAATGCTGAATGTTTCGGAAGAAGGCAGTGGGTGGTAGGCTCGATGCACGTGCGTTTTGCACAATCGACGTGTCAGCTTGGTTCGGATCAGAGGTGCCTGGGAAGGGAAGGGAGTTACCTGGTTACCTTGCACTATGTCCTCCTTTGCACTTTGGTCGAAACTGGCTGCGTAGGAGCCGGTCCTATTCGCTGCCTCTGCCATGAAGAACTTGAAGGCTGGCTGCAGGGAGAGCCCGATTAGCTCTCGTCCTGGAAGCCCCGTTCCGATGAAGCATGATGAAGCCAGGCAGGAGACGGTTCGATCACTGACGAGGAGGGGCTGTGAGGGCTTGGGTGCATCGAAGTCGTACTTTGCCTGTTGGCCGGCCTCGATGTCGGTTGGATGTGTCGGGGGTCTTCGGTTTCTAGTTTCCTGCGAATGTTTAGCCTCGAGACAACGATGTTCACGCCGGCTGCGCAGCAGAGCTCCAATCACTCCGGTCCCCGCTCGCAGGAGGCCATCGAGGCGGCACGCAGCGCGCATTTTGGTTGCCTCAAAGAAGTCTTGGTTTCAAGATGTTACACGTCAACGTGGGACGCCTTCACGTCGGTTGTTGTTCAGAGTGTCGATTGCTTCACCTCGCAGCACACAGCCTGCAGCAATCGAAGTGTACCGAGAAGCAGCACAGACTGCCGTGGCTCAGGCAGATCCTAGACAGGCTGACCCGACTGCCCAAGGGACTGGACACTCTAGTGACAGGAGGTGGGCCTTGGCTGGTTCGTCCTGGGAGTGTTGGAGATTCAGCGTTTGCCCCTGCAACCTCGCGCAGGAAATTTTTCCGGCGGCGAAAAGCAACGCGTGGCTATTGCTCGAGCATTGGCACGAAGGTGCGCGGTGGTGGTGCTGCGGTTACTTGCGGGAGCCATGCGCACCAACCCCTTCCAGAGCAGGAAAGCCAAAATCAGGTTTGGGAGGTTTCCAGTTCATTTCCGGGCCGGGGGTGTTCGAGCCTTGCATGTATTTGCCGGATTCGGCGCCCACTGGAAGAGCCAAGGGTTTGCGGAAGCACGTTGAACGAATCTCAATTCTCGTTGATGCCCTTTTCTGTGCAGAAGCATTGGAAGTTCAACTTGCCGAAACATGCCAAGCCCCGCTGCAGACAACATTCACGGTCTCGCCGCGCCAGGATACCGCAATCCAATATTTGGGAAGTTTCAAGAGGCTCCAAATGATTCCAACTGCTACGGCTGTTACGGCTGGTTTCGATTTTGCAGTGGTGCCTGCAAAATGCTCGCAGCGTGTAAAGCTTGAGCAGGGCCACGCAATTTGGCTTCTGGGGCTTTCGATATCCGTCTTTTTTTTTATCTTGGATTTTTGGAAATTTGGGATGTTGCTGGAGTTGGGTGGCACTGGTGTGGTCTCCGGTGGTCTTTACTGTAGTCTTCCGATTCCATTGCTTGGGGTTTAGCCTCATGTAAAATCATACCGTTTCAAGGGGTACACCCAAGAAGAACGTCTAGTGAAGCCAGTTGCTGGGACGGCATAACGCGTGCGCATCAGGAAAGGCAGGCACAAGACAGAAGCGATGCCCTTGAATACCTTGCATCATGGAAAGCTGCGACACGGACAATACTGTCAGGTGCCGAGAAGATATTTTTTTTAGCATTTTTGCATGTGGATCCGTGCAAGGTTTGCAAGTCTTGTTGCGAAAGTGGTAGAAATCAATCGGCATCACCCTCGACTGCAGGCCGCAGATATTGCTGCTGGACGAGGCTCTGGGTCGGGTTTCGGATCTTGTAGCTTCGCTTGCGTTGGGTGTGCAGGCAGTGTGGATGCTGCAGAGCTTGCCAGGCCACCTCCGCTTTGGACAACGAGTCCGAGCGCATGGTGCAGGCAACCCGGGACAGGTTCGAGGTTCATGGCGCCTCCAGGCAGTTCGGAACAACGGAAATGTACATTGATATGGAGGTGAATGGAGCTAGAAGGATCGGCAAGATAAGCTAAGGTTCGCCATTCACGACAAGCTGGAATAGTCGCACTCGGTTTAGTAGTAATTATCAGTCGCAGATGTGGTATTGGTATTGATCTTGGTTTCCTCATGAGTTTCAGCATGAGCATTAGCATTGATCGTCGGCGCCACTCGTCGTCACTCGTCGTCACTCGTCGTCTTCGTTGTCGTCGTCATGGTCTTTGACTTTCAGGTCGGCCCGTTTCTCGATTGAGAAGGGTGGCTAGGACCGGCCCGAAATGCAGATTCCGAGCTTGGGGCCGCACTGCGGGAGAGCAGCGCAAGGCCAAAGAGCCAAAGAGCCACAGCTTAGTCAGCTTAGTGTCTTAGTACTTTAGGCAAGCTGTTTAGAGCTCTCAACCCTGAGCATTCTTCTTGGCCAGGCCACGCTTGACTCCCTGGACGTCACATACGGCCAAACAATCACAACCATCTCCATTGCCCACCGGCTGACATCCATTGTCTCCTCCGACGCCATCTATGTACTACAGGACGGGCAGATGGGAAAGTGCAAAAGCCAACGCAGCCCTGCTAAACCCCAACTCAAGACATGAGGTGTCGGGTGGGTGGCAGACCAAGACGACGTGGGGGCGGGGGGGCGCTTGGTTTGCCGAGCTGGTTGTTCGCATGCTGGTGTCAGCAATTTCTGTAATTTCGTGTGTGAGAAATGTGAGAACCACAGACAGGGTATCCGAAGGCAAGCCTGAGCCTGAGGCATGCGAAACAGTCGTCCTTAGTGTCAGGCGGAAGCGGTATCATCAAGTGCCCTGGGTCTAGGAGGGCCGCGTCGCAGAGAAAGGCACCCACTCAGAGCTGATGGCCCTAGAGGCCAGAGGCTCAGTGGTCGTGGTGGGTTTGGGGCATGGGAGAGTGCAGTGAGGTCTTGGTCTTGGAGCTTAGCTTTACGACTGTGACACCCCATCTCGGACTTTGAAGTGAATGAACTGTGAAAATCCTGCATGCGTGAAGCCGTCCTATCCGAACGACGATTACCTTGCATGAGGTTCTCGGCCACTCCTGTCTGACTCTCGCTTCTTCCATCCTGCATATGAGCAGCTAAAGTGCTGAACGCGTTTAGAGGTTGCCTGGCTCCGAAAACCTCCAGCTGTGAAGTCGCAGGCATCAAACACTTAATCTTCGGAAACCTGTTGAGTTCTGCCACTTTCGACCCAACCTCCTTGTGCCCCAAGCCGTGCTACAGTGTTCTGAACACCTTCCATGGACAGGGCCAGTACTATGCCATGGCGTCGCTGCAGTAACTCGCCTAGTTTTCGATGATAGGTGGTTCGGGCTCTACCCCCCTCGGTGCGCTGAAGGGTCTCTGGGATCTGTTCGCATTGTTAATGCTTTGGTCGTGTTGTCAAGTGGTTTCAGAGCCAAAGCTTCAAGACCTGAAGCCTTCTCTAAGGAAGGGTGCCCCACCGCCAGCGCCGCGGCGGCCGGTTTTGAAGCGCCAAGGCTCACAGGCAACCCAGTCGGCCATGGTTTGGCACTGCACATGGGCAATCCCAAGCAGAACCTCTTTACACAGAAAACCCTTCACAATCGTTTGCGGAAGCCAGCTCGCGGCAGGATGACCCCAAGTAGGATTTGCAAGGTTGAGTGGCAACGTGTCCGGCGCAATTCGGAACTGGCAAAAGCAAGATGTAGGTTGGTGGCAGTTCCGTGTCTCTCTCCGCCGCCCTCCAGCGCACGAGCACGGTGGGCCTTTCTGGCAGTGCATTTAAGGTTTGATTTGCGGTGCTTCGGGAGTGAGAAAGATTGCCAAGAGAAGCTGCACCTGCCCAGAGCCGGCAAAGCCCTCTCTGAGGCTATCTTCGAAGCATGTCGCGGCAGTCCTTTGTTGGTGCCATGGCGGGAGATCCCATCACAAACAGCTTCATCGCGGAGGCGCTGGAATCTGAAGTTTCCAACATTCAGGGGACTTGTCAATGCTTTGTGGCTCTGGGGTGATGCGCGAGAAACCATAGAAATCGGACATGGTCTGGGGACCAGACAGGATGCAGGTAAGTCGGCGACACTCCAGCTGCCAATGCCTTCAGGCAGCGCATGAACCTGACGAGGAGATCCCTGTTGCTCCCGCCGTCATGCCTAGGCACTCAGCGAGCACATGGCAGGGAGTGTTAACGAAGTCGAGCAGGGCTGTAAGTTTCGAAGGATTGATTATGCAGCATCCTATGTTCCTTGGGCTGCGGCGTGGAGAGGAGTACGGTAGATGAGGCCCTTAAACTCTTCGACCACCGACTTTCAGGCTCTGCCATGTTTCTCGACCTTTCTGGACTGTCTTGCCATTCGCTGCTGGTCCGTATTTGGAAAGAGCTGTCGATGTCCGACGAGACATGTGCCAAACCTGGTCACTCTCCGCTCGGGTTCTTACGGCTGAGGCTTTCCTGATCATCATTATCGAGGCCGTCGCTGCTCCGTTTCAGGCCCTCCTCTTCACCGAAGCAATGAAAAGCCTCCCGGCATGTAGTGGGCACTGGTTCTTTAGTAGTTCCTCGGCGAAAGCGTCACCACTAGTCCCTGTCGATGCCGCACCGACACCGTCGGGGTGGGTCTGGACAGCCGCTCCGTTGTTTGATCACGTTGCAGTGCTGGCTTCAGTGTGCTTATGCATGAACATATCTTGTAGCATCGCCCTGTGGCTGAAGATTCGCTTCGCCTTGCCCACTTGAGGCTATTACGAGAAATCGGTTTCCGTCATGCTCTTCAAGCTTGACCGAGCCTGCTTCGGCCTTGCTCTCTTGGGCATCGTGCCCGGGATGCCAGAGAGGGCTCAGACCCATGTCGGGACATCAGCAAGGGGGACGAGATGATGTTGTGCATTGAGGTCATGGGTGGGAGCGTGATGATCATGAACAGCATCTTCACCTTCCTGCAGGACACTTTGGCCATGGCCCATGCCCATCAACTGCACAGAGCCGCCGCGGGCGCCGCAGGAGAGCATCAGCCTTCAGCTCAGAAAGTTGGCGTTTGGCAGCGTCATCCGCATGCACATGGCCTTCTTCGATTCGCCGGTCCGCCAGTCCAGAGGGAGGGAGGGTTGCAGGGCTGCGGTTGACATGCTTCGCGCAACCATGAGCTAGAAAGTTCTTGGAGCTGATCTTCCGTTGCCCGCGACTTCATCCGGATTGTGCCTGCAACACAACAACAGATGTTGAACAGCCACCTCATCAGCTCGATGGCACCACAACACCGCACCTAAGTCCTGCCTGCCCGGTCCACAAGGCAGACGCGATATTCCAAAGCTTCAATCGCTGACCCCTTTCCCAAACACCTGCGTGCCCTAACTTTGTTTGCAAGGAGAACCAAACATCCGATCTGTTGGTGTCTTTGGAGAGGCATCTGGGCACAATCCTAGTTGTCCCAGCTCGTTCTAAGTTCCCAATCGATGCATCCACTGTTGGTGAACTCAACTAGACCCTGCCGTGTTGGTGCAAGGTAGCAAGCATTGCTTCTCGATGGATGGGTAGTTGCTTAGTGGTCGACATGTTATCCTGATTTTTCAGACAATTGTGTTCTCAGCCGAGCTTTGGGCCTTTGTATGCTTACCGTATATTGAAATTGAATTGAACACTCGTGCTCTCCTTTGCTGTTCTTGCCGGATACCTTTTGAAAGCAAGGTCGGTCAGTGTCCGGGGAGGAAACACTGTAGTCTTCTGCTGCTTCAACTTGGTTCCTGAAGCATTTTGGTATTGTGTCGACTCCCAATTCGCAGCATGAGTCTTCATTCGTCGTTGTGGCTTGGTGAAGCCTGTTCCGCCAATGTGAGTTGGGTACTACAGTGATTTCAACCGGCACCTGCTCAGGCACATGATCCGAGTGTCACAGATGTTCGGCGTGAACTTGTGACTTGCCTGCAACAGCAACAGCGTCAGAGCAACGTCAACCTTCGCAAAAAGCCACCACCACCACCACCGCCGCCGCCGCCGCCGCCGCCACCGGCACCAACACCGTGGCACCGCCACCGCCACCGACGCCGCCGCAAGAGCCATATCGAAACCGGAACAAGGCCAATAGTGACAACGGTGGTACTTCAGTGCCAGGCAGCGAGAGCTATTTTGTCGTCCCAAATGGAAAGCAAGCGGAGAAACACAACAATGCCAACACTGACGACAACACCAAGACTCTCCATCGTCATTGTCGTCGTCGAGGTGGTGCTGGTGGTCGTGACAGTCGTAGCAATTGTTAGTATTGCTTTAGTAGCCGTAGCAGCTGCAGCACCAGCAGCAGCATTGCATTGCCGACGCGTCGCGAGATCCACCGCGTTCGACGAGAGGACAGACTTTGTCCCGCAGCTTGCAGCTGCACCATACTGTTGATGGCTCCCTCAAACCTGTCTCACCAAAACAACAATCGAAAATCGAAGGGATCAATCCAGCTCCTCAAGGAAAGAACGACTCTGCACATTGCCCTGTGCACTTGACTGTTGCCCTGGATGTCAGCTGCTGCTGTTGATGCATGCGAGAAAGCCCCGGTTGACGTCGTTTACAGCTAGGCTTGTGATCCATTCCAAGCGAGCGGACAGTCAAAGCAGCAATGCAGATGTGTTTGACACACAAGCCTCGCACAGTCATCAGTAAGGCAGACTGAGATAACCAGACGGTCACCCGAATGAAAAGCCCTGTCGCATCTGTGACTATGCACCCCTGCACTGCACGTGGAACAGCACTTTCGGTGCTTTCCAGAGCTCTGCCGCACACACCCCGATGCAATGCAAATGGCCATGACACCTGGGCAAGGAGCTGGCTTCAAGAATCAGCTGGGTACGTTACTTTGCGCAAGGATAAGCATGAACATGTTTTTATCCGGCAAATCTGGCTAGTCGTGCAGGCTCCGAATGTCCGGCCGCTCCGCACTTCAAGTTCCGGCTTCTGCTACAATTGTACAGCCTCCGAAAACGCCGTATGAGCGATGGAGGTGAGCAGGCTAGAAACTAAACCACAAAGACGGGTGGGTACCTAGCCACCCGAAGACCCAGGGGACCTAAACCCGAGGTCAGCATACAACACATGGTATGTAATCCTGATGCAAACTGGGGCTGGCGCATAAGGTGCTTCCTTTCCGGCAAGTACCTCCCATCGGCTCACTGCATAAGCCGAGAGCACCACCCTGTCAAAGGAGGTCCAGACGCAGGTCTGGTGCAGGCGATGAGAGGAGAAACGTATGGCTTGTAGTTGCAAGGGGTATTTCACGCCACAGCGCTGCTCACCATCAAAGATAATCCACTCATCTCCAGCCGGATCCTCCACCCATAACTCCCCATCTTCGTGGAGTGACAAGGAGGTCACCAGACTCGGGAGCGTACTATTTCCGAGGTCCCGGCGGGGAGGCGTTTTGTAGTTGTGTAACACCGCAACGGTGGTCCTGCGATGCTCCGGAGATATTCGCATCACCAAGCTGTTGATTAACCGAACCACATTTGGATGATAAAGCGTCATCCGGCAGAGGCTTGCAAAGGGACCATGGGCATAGACCCCGAACGTGGCGCAACCCGCCTCATCCTGTCCAGCCACGCCCTGATACTGTGGCGCCTCCCTCCGCAAAAGAGAGACGACCTGCCTGACCGCGCTCCACAAAGGTGCGGTGCCCTCTGCTAAAATGTGCTGGGCCAATTCTTCAGCTTCCGAAACGTTGCGTTGCCCTGTCCAACGCGGATGTGTCAAGCTCGGGTGCCGTCGGTGGCCAAAAGTGCAAATCAACCTATCTGCGTATTCAAATAGCGCGGATCTCCAGGGTTCCGTCAAGTGCTGCCTGGCCCATTCTAGCAAGTCATTCCTAGCCAGCATGCCAAGAAAAGGAGGTGGCACGGACCATGACAGAGCAGGTGCGTGTGTGGCACGCTACTCAGCAGCAGATAGGCTTCCAGAAAGTCGTCATGCACATCATTGGGCACACAAAGAACAGCTACCGAGGCTGCTTGGGCCATGTCACTCGGCTGACAGGCAGCAGTGCTCTCTGGCCAATGTGGCTCAGCCCTTATGACGACTGAGGCTGGGGCTCACTCACTTGGCAGGCAGGAGCAAAATGCTACGGAGGGAGTCCGCTAACAGGCCGCACTGGTGAAGAACCCGACGCTGTTCAGGCTTCATTGCTGCAAGAACTCAGTGTCACTGTGCGGTCCTGCAGAGTACGAGCCGCTCTGCGGCGCCGCAGTGCAGTAGTGGCGTGACTTTGCTCCTGCTGTACCCTCACATGGCATGCGCTTCCTGCTCTCCTTTGCCCCGCGCAACCTGGCAGGGCAGCGTGACAGGCTTCGATCATCGTTGCAGCTTTTTTGGCCGCTGCATCGCAAGACGCAACATGTGCAGCTTTCCAATGCTCGTCGGCTGATTTTTTCGTCGGTGCCGCTGCGCAGATGAACATCGTGTCGGTCACTCGCTCAACTCCAGTGCTTTCCCCGCTGCCATCACCGTCTGCTACAGCACGCACCGCGATGGTGCTTATCGCGGGCAGATACTATTTTCACGTACGACTGTGGTTGGCCTTGTTGTGCAGAGTACTCTTCGCCGAAGCAGGGCCTTAATTCGACGGACAGAGTACGAAGAGACTCTGTCCTAGACTCCCATGAAGAGGACAGGATTGACAATGCACTGTTGCAGGTGCAGGCATGTGCAGTCAACAACAGTGGCTAACCTGAAGGAAAACAGAAAACTACATGCATACAACTGGAAAGCTTCGGTGCCCATCCCAGGGTCACAGAAGTGGGGCAGGCTCACTCTGAGACCTGGCGCAATTGAAACAGGCTCCTGATTCTTGGCTCTATCTTCCAGATACCGTCTAAGCTGAATGCAAACAACCAAGCGTCCCTCTACAACGGCATGTACAGCATGTTGATTGCGCCAGTTGTTTATCATAGTCTGCAGACCAGCAGGATGTGGCGACATGAGTATTGGTGCTGACAGTGGAAATTGATCAACGATGCTATGCGGGTTTGTCAAGCGAGCTTGCCACAGGCCTGCAAGCGCATCTAATTGCAGGGTCGTCGCCAGGTGCTGCCAGAATTCACCTGCGTCATGCTGGCAATGAATATCCGGCTATTCCCTCTGAAAAAAAAGACTATGAAAGGCCAGGCACTCGGTGAGCAACACACTGCGCTGACTGCGCAGAACCGCAAGGCCTGCCTGTGCCAGGCGTGAAATCTGCAGCTCGGGGCCACAGCGAACTCCCGCAACCAAAAGACAGCCTGCATGCAGGCATTGGCGTAGCACAGATTCATACCCGTAGGATTAGCAAGCTTAGCAACCGGAAGAGCGGCGCCTGAATGCTGCAGGGGCCGCGCGGCCTGTTGCGCGGCACTCAGAGGCATCGACCGACCTAGGTCGAGCCTCGAGCCTGAGCTCCTCGAGACTTCCACTCGCAGAAATCCAGGTTCATATACGCCTGCTCGATGGCTTTGCTCATCTGCGACCGCCTCCCTCGCTCCGGCTTGAGCCTCATCCCCATGAGCTTGCAGCATGCATTCCCGCCAATCGGCCCAGGATCTCGTGGGCTTCGTGTGCTGCCTGTGTGCGGAGACTTATCGTCACCATGAAGGGCACCACCTCCCTGTCCAGCTTTTCCTGGAGGTTCTTGGTGCACCGAAAACGATGCAAGACCCCTTCCACTGCCACGAACTTGGCGAGGTTGTCCAAGTCCTTAAGGAGCTCGCAATGGGAGCGCGGCAGCTGCTGGGCAACGATCTGCTGCCGGGTTTGTGGGTCCCATGCATGGTACACCCACACAGACAGGGTCGAGGGCTGTTCGTCCCTCCATCAGCCACCCCGCCTCCTTGCAGCGGGCTTGCTGCTCCTCGTCCACCTGCAGGGCCTCCAGTTTCCCCATCAGGGATTTCACAAGACCTCCGGTCTTGAGAGACATCGTGACCCTGCCGGCCGTGTAGAGCTCCTGCCAGCTAGGGACTGACATCCTTCACCATCTGGAGCCACGAGTGCTCCGAAATATCGATGAAGAGCACGAAGCTGGTGTCGACTGCCTCGTGGCGAAGGACAGCCCTCGTCATGGCTGTTAGGAATTCATCGAGGATTCAGGGGTTTGACTCTCCTGGCTCCTTGTGCTCGGCTCCCACTGACGCTTGGGGCCGGAATTCCACGGACGCCAGGACCCCTTGCCCCGTCTTTTTTGCGCCAGTTGGAAGGCCGATCGGAGTCTTGACCGCCCTCCGTGCCCTCTTTGCCCGGTTCCGGCCAGTACCATTCCTGGTCCTTCTCTTTGTCCTTCTCCTGCCCCTGGCCTGTTGGCCTTTTGTTCCCGAAGAGCCGTTCCCATCTCTGCATCCGCCATGGCTCGTGTGGAGCTCCTGGGCGCACAGGACACAACCAGCCAACGAAGCTTGGAACACAGGGACACAGCTCTTGATATGCTTCCGAGGGTCCCTGATCTCCTTTTGGCAGTACGCACACGGGCTCCGGAGGTCTAGGCCCAGGCTTGTGATACGATCGGCAGCGGTGTTTGCGTGTTCCCATTCAGCCTTATGCATGAGGCGGATGTGTTGTTTACATCCCGGTCCTACAGTTGAAACCCGTTGCCCACAAAGAATGCAGTACGTGCGCATGGACTGCACGCATTTCTCATCCTGGAGTGAACGTTTCCAGCCCTCCGAGAGCAATTGACGAAAATGTGCGGATTCGAATAACGGCTGCACTGGGACTGTCTCAACGACCTCGGAGGGGCCGCCCTCATTGCCGTTGCCCTCCACACCCACAGAAGCGACCTGTACTTCCGTGGGGGAGGCCGCCGAAGCTGGGTGTATCATCTGCGAGGAATTCTTCGCTGGCTCTACTGCAGGACAGCCTCCATTGATGTGTTTCTTGAGGCCTTCGACCCGTTGAAAGGACTCCTTACAGAACCTACACGTAGGCATGCCATCTAGCGCGTACTTGCTATATTCCGCAGCATCCAGTACACCCGTCGGCTTGGAGCGAGGCAGTGGTGTTAGGCTTATGCGCCCGAGCTCGATGGGACCGCGTGTGCCTATGATGCGTGAAGTAAACTCCACAATCCGGACAAGGCACTCCCCTGAAGCAATCCCCTGAGTCCCGCTCCGCTAGCTGCGAATCCTCTACCGGCATGAACCGTAGGTCGCCGAGCACGGCAGCAAACCAGCTGGCACTATGTGCTTGGTGGCTAAACTTAATTCGTCTACCCAACATCTTGCTGAGCGCCTCTCTCTAGGAGAAATGGCATGCAGCCTGGCTCGGAGCCGAGAATTGCTCTCCCTCGTGAGATGCACTGGTGAGTTTGCGATGGCCCTGAGAGCTCGGGCATCATACGCCTCCAGCCTTCTAATAACCTCAGAAGTAAGGCCAACTGCGTGAAGCCCAAACATTAACGTGCTACGAACGCAGGCGATGTAAAGCCTGACCCGGCATCGAAGGCAGAGCTTGTTGGTATGCAAAAAACGAAGAAGGCGCTGCCTGTTGTGAATCCGATGCTCACAAGTCTGAACCTCAAACCGGCCATATGAAACCACCACTCCCAGGTAGACCATTTGATTGGCGCGGGGGATGACAAGTGGTGAACCCGGAACGCCTAGACTAAGAGCAGGCTTGCCATCCACGTAACAGGCATGTCGCTTGATCCAACGGCGTGCCGCGCTGCCTTCAAGGCCAAGTACGATACAAGACTTGGTGGCATTCACCTTCATTCCCGTGGATTCAAACAAGCGAAAGAGGACGCGGATAGCCCGTAAAGCAAACGCCGAGGTCTGGCAACGTCTCAATCTCAAAGGACGCGTGGCTATCGTCAGCATAGAGAGTCATAAGCCGCTCAGCCCAACTAGCTGATGTTTGCGTGACGAGCTGATCGTAGATCCAGCAGCTGTAAAGTGTGAAGAGCAGCGGGCTAAGTACGCAGCCCTGGCGGACTCCCTTGGCCAACGAAAAATTCTGGGTGTGCGGGCCGTGACGCACCTTGTAGTTACACCGCTCATGTATGGCAAGAATGGCAACCTGAAGATCATTAGGTACCCCCGCGTGCGTCATGGCCGCCTCCAGAGAGGAGCGTGGGAGCTCATCAAAGGCCCGGCTCAGATCAATGCTCAACATCAGACCCCCAAAGCATGTACTTGCCCGACGGCCAGCCCTCCGGTCATGCACGCTAAGTGTACCTGCCTGTATACGACTGCGCACGCCTTTACAATGACAAGCCACCCTGCACACTGCATCATCTAAGGCCTTGCCCGGGCAATACGCAAACTGGGGCCGAGCATTTATGTAATCTTGCACATACGGCATGGTGCGGGTCCTAAGAACTAAAGCTAAAACCTTAGCACTGGGGTCCTGTAATCCTAGTGGCGTAAATCCTGCGGTCGCCGACCGGCCTTTCCTGGCTTGGGCAAGAGCGCAAGCGAGCAGCATGTGGCTTCATCCGGGTAATGATCCCCCAGCTCATTGCTGCGATTGAAGATACGCTTACTGAGTTTGGACATACTCTCCGGATGAAGCAGCCATACATCCGCTGGCAAGCTTGTCTCAGGAACCGCCTTTCCGGCCTTAAGCTGACGAACGGCGTCACAGAGCTCGGACTCCGTGAAACACAGCAGAGCATTCGCTACCGGAACCTGATATGGACTGTTGGTGCTGAAGGCTTGCTTAAAGTACTTATGTATTTCCTGGAACTCCTGCTCGACCGTGCCGAACGGATGCGCACTTTGTCCCTGCGTTTCCTGGGGGCAATAGCATTAACAACCCTATAAACCGAACCCAAGTTGTTCCTAGACGCAGCCTGCTCTGCAATACGCAGCTGCTCTTCGAACCACTGGCGCCGCCTGTGTTGGCCAGCGGCCCGAAGCGCCCTACCTGCCTGCTTCAGTTCAGCATGCCTGTGAGTTGAGGCTGCAGCAGACTGGAACTGTGCGGAGTGTGCGACCTATACACATTCCACACATGTTCAATCGCTTCCTTGACAGCATCTTGCTTAAGAGCGTCTACGCTTAGAAGGAAAGAGGCGTTGGCAGTGCGGGAAGATTTTGCGATTGAACTCCTGAAAACTGCACTGGCAGTCTCTGAGCAGCTCCTCAGTTGTGGAAACCACTAGCTGCCGAAGCTCCTGTGCCTTGTTCTGGACTCCTTGTTTGAGGGCCTGGAGGGAGAACCTGAGGGGTTGTTGGGCCTTGGGGGCTAATTTCCAACCAGGTGTCCACGGCAGGGAGGCAGAGACTGCACAGTGCTTCGGTCCGAGGCGCCAAGGTGATTAGTCAAGCGCAATGGGCTGCGCTGTACGAGCAAGTGCATCTGCGTGGCGTCTCCTCGTGACGGTGAAATCGATTTGTGTAGTTACATCTCCATTCCGGAAAGTCCCACAAGCTGAAGGCAAGGCCCAACGCCAAGTATTAAGAAGGACAAGTCCCTGATCCCTGACCATCTCCTCAAACTCAGAATCCGGTGTCCTTGTGGTGTGCAGCACACCTCGTCCAACATGCCCCGCCAGAGGCCGGCAATGCGTATTCAGATCAGCGCAGACAACCAGCATATTGCGAGCTGGCAAGCCCTGTAGCAAAGTGCCCAGCTTGGTCCAAAAACTCGACCGCTTCTTAGTAGTCTGATCCTGTTGTTGCGCTTGCCAAACCCATTGATATCCTGCTACCACGCCAAGGGTGAGTTGAGGGGAGGTGCATCGAACATGTAGGAGTCGCCCAGGTATCCAGGCGACTGTGCTCACTTGCTCGTCTGAGAAAACAGAACGTCGGAGAAAAATCGCCAACCCGCAATAGCGCTGCTTCTCGTCTGCAGTCGTTACAACGATCCCCCCGGCAGCTGCCAGTGACCGTCGGAACGGCCGAGACCACGGTGACTCTCCTGGAGCACCACCACGTCCGCGCTGCATCGGTTGTGCAGCCAGTCTTTCATAAAATCATAGCATTCACTAGAAATCCCTCCAGTAGCTGAATATCTTGAGGCGCGGTTGCCTTTTATGTCCAGGTGGTAAAGAGTGCGCGCTGCACCATCTGTTCCTCTACCAGGTACCCCCGGACTGTTCGGCACGTTGCCGCGCTCTGCGATACGCGCGTTTTCGACTGTTATTCCGGGTAGGACCGGTTCGAGGCCCCTTGCCAGAGTTTTTCACCCCCGTGACAGAGGTTGCCAGGGCCGCTGTGGAACGGCCACAAACCCTCGGGTTTAACTGCTCAGTGTCTTCTCGAATAGGATCATTTCCCGAAGCAGTTCGGGGGAATTGGGGCCCCCGCGGCTGGGCCGTTGGATAATCAGAGCTGCTTGTATTCATCATGCAGATAAGAGCACCAGCAAACAGCAAGCAACGCGAAGCCATCAACCCTCACTGTGCCTGGCGCTATGCAACAGCTCAAGCTCCAGTAGTAGTAGTAGTAGTAGTAGTAGTAGTAGTAGTAGTAGTCTGTAGTAGTAGTAGTAGTAGTAGTAGTAGCAGTTGCAGTAGCAGCAGCAGCAGCAGCAAGTAGCAGGAGCAGTGGCAGTGGCAGCAGCAGTAGCGGTAGCGGTCGCGGTAGCAGTAGCAATAGCAGCAGCAGCGGCAGCAGCAGGAGGAGGAGGAGTTGTTGTTGTTGTTGTTGTTGTTGTTGTTGGTATTTCGGTAAGGGGTCTTGGGACATCGGGAAGCCCGTGGCCAAGATGTTCAGGTCCAACACCGTCATGGCCGTTCTTACTGCGGTCGTCTCGGTCTTGGTGAGCTTCCTTGGGTCCTGGCTCCTCGGCTCCGGCGGTTCTTCAGGGTGCTTCGCCGCTCGGTTTTCGCAATTCCACTCAGGTGTTAAAGCCCGGGAAAAGAGGGATCTAGTGGTTTTTGTGAGCTCATGGGGTTTGGTTTGGTGGATTGCTGGCTGAAGAGTCTAATTGGGTTTGGTCCCGAACAGGTTCAGCACATATGGTGTTCCAGTTCGGTCCTCAACACAAGAGGAATGTTCGCAACATCCTGCACCTCGAAATGAGATGAAGGCGTGTGTTGGGCATCAGATAGTTGATAGGATGTCCAAGTCCGCTTAGGCCTAAGGCTTTGAACTGCGAGGCTGAAGCCCCGGGCCTCGAAGCGTGAACGCAAAGCGCCCAACGACTCGTTCGCAAGAGTTGGAGTTGTACAAACCCTCAGCCCTCAGCCCTGGAAGGTTGCAAGGCCGATGCGCGAACCTAGAAGCAGATACACCTCATAAATCCGACTAGGAAGTAATACCACAAGCATGGTACGATGCACAGTCCAGATTGCAGTTAGAGGTGAAGGTAGGTTTCGCATACTCCTAAACCCTATTCGCACTCTGCCTCTGAGCCAAACTCTCAGTTGGCAAACAGACGGGGAAGCGTTGAGGTCAGAACACTAGTAGTGGCAACGCAGGCACCATTTAATTATCCTTGCCAGCAGGGGATTTTCCGCATGCCAGACGGGAAGCTACGTCAACGAGTCCAGGTTCCTCGCTGCCATACTCTTGGGCGTGTTGCCTATCTGCGGCTTCCTCGCTATGTCTGTGTCCGTCATGGCACAGAAGGCCAGGTGTTTAACATGTCCGTCAACCTTGCGAATGTTTCTGACCTCTACCAAGAACTGCATCTGAGTCTGACGGCGTCCGAGTGTGAGACCACGCAAAACACATGATCTCGATCATAGCGACTCCCAGCCAACGGCACACATTTTGCATCAGGACATGTTCCCGCAAACGTCGACGGTCATAGCATTTCCAATGCCGCAGATGTTGACTGTCACAGCGCTCGTTTCCGCTGCAAAACTACTTTGACGCGCGGTCCAGGGCCGCCAAAAGCCCGAAAAAACCTTCATCCCCGGGGCCTAGTGCTTGTCATTGCTGGGTTGGAAAGGGTGTGGACCCCTGTGGCGGAATGTCGAGGAGCACCCCCCTTTCCGCCACCTGGTGCCACTACGGCAACAGTTTCTTTATTCTGTACCAGGCTAGCAACATCGAGTCTTTGGGCGGTATGCAACCTTTTGACTATGTCGACGACGACGACGACATTAGTGATTACTGCTATCGCTGAGCAACATGTTTTGCATCAGACGTGCGTGAGATGCTGGTTGCAATCTCGCAGTAGAGGCCGTGTGCGGCACATCATAAGCAAGGGCAGTCGTTGTGGTTGTACCAGCAGTGCGACGGCAGCAGCACCAGCAGTACACAAGAAAGAATGGCCGTTTCCAGAGCAGGCGCTGTGCTTTTCTTGCCGTTAGGGTTTGTAGTTTTCAGTCTCAGCAGAGGTGCTTCGAGAATTTACGATACAGAGCTGACGGCCATATCCCAAAGAATGGCTAAATCGTCGTCTCTCATTCCTGACTGCGACGTGTGTTACTATTTCTTGTCGCTATCGCACAAACGGTTCAATGGTTGCTTGGCGCAGTTCGCGAGTCTTCCTTCCTGCCTGGTTGCGTGTTCGCCCTTGGTGCTGGAGCAAGTGTTCCCTCTGCATCTGGCGCACACCATGGGTCGCCCCCTGTGAGTGCTTTCTTGCGAATGAGGGTTGCAGGCTTTTTCGACCAGTCTAAGTAGCCTCACTTGAGCATTGTCTTTTTGATAAGGGCAGTCGTCGTTATGTGATGTATAGGACTTGTCTCTTACCTCGATGTCGTGCATGCATGCCAAGGAGTTGCTTGTGGGGTTTGTAGCATGTCATGCGTCCAGCGTGCATTACAAGCGACCGCCGAAACATTCTTCCTGTTCTATCCTAAATCTTATGTTGTCACAGTTTCTCTCTAGTTTGCAGCAGTATACTTGAACTGTGTGATGGAGGGGGGCCAATGACGTTTCCGGAGCCCCCACCTGATGTTGAGAGGGACGTGGGTCAGGTGGGAGGCAGGCCGCACCGTGTGTGCTGGTGGACGCTCACTCGCTCGCTCGCTCGCTCACTCACTCAGTTTCCAATCTTGTCGCTGTGACCGCTGGCTCCTTTTAGGACACCTCGTGATAGGACTGGTCGTGGGCGGACATTCCGTCTCAACGTTCCCACTCGTAGCAAGCGCTTTTTCCCTGTTTTGCGGCGTGCGGTGTCCTACAGCTCCTGTAGCTTTAGTTGGGTATACGGGTATTCCAACATCGTTTAAGCCACTTTAGACCCCCGGGGACTTTCAAGAAGAAAGGGCACTGATGCATGCAACTTGTGCCCTTGGCAGCTCTCTCCGGGCGTGGAAGCGGCCTACGCCATGTCCGGCTCGAGCATTTCAGAAGCTGTCATGTCCATTCGGACAGTAAGGCCAGGACCTGTCCGTTGTATTTTAGTTTCGGGACCGGTGTTCGATCTAAATACGTATGCATTTCTGGAACCTCATCCTGGCTTTTCTCATAGTGCCCCTTGCGCTGCCTTGCGCCACTGTCTGGAGAGCTTCCCACTTTCGGATTTCAGACTTGGTGGTTCGGAGCGTCGGATCGAGAGGAGTGTGTTCCGCTCCGTAGGTTTGTGGAGGTCGGGCTGGAGCTTGCTACCACCAGGTTGTTTTGGTAGAGATGTGTTGAGACGAATGCAACCACAGCCAAGCGGACAGTGTGCGAGTGTATCTGATTCACTATTTGCCACCACTGTAGGTGAGAGAGATTACTGCTGTCGCAGGGTAAGAGCATCCTGATTGTCATTATGTTCAGCAGAAGGGGATAGCAGTGATCGCGATGTTAATGGCCACCCAGATGACGATCAACGGAGACTATGTTCCTGAGGTGATTGTAGTGGCGATCACGATGGTGATGCTGACATTGACGGTGATGGCTATAGTTATATCGGTGGTGGTCAAGAAGGACAGTCGTGGGGATGGTGAGGCTGGAGTGTTTGTCATAATGGTGGTGATGAGGATGAGCAATGTCGTGCCGCGGTTTACTTCCTCTCGTTTGTAAATTTCGTTTCGTAGTCTGCATGGCTACCGTTGGAACAAATTGTATTCGCAACAGCGGTGTGATGAGGCAGCAATGTAGTCCTTTAGATGCATGCTTATTCGGCTTTCTTTCAGCTGTTGGCTTCGGCTGTTTCACTTCGTAGATACTGAGCGCAAGACAGTTGTTTCAGTACTCATGCTGCTGGTCTCCCCCCGTCCTTTACTCTCTTCATCATCCTTTGCCACTCCATGGTCTCTTCTCATGCTCACATGCACCTGCATGAGATTGTCTTGTGGTGATGAGAAATTCTCATCCTCCCAGTGACGAGTCGAGGACACATGCGTGATCCGTCCATGGTGAGTTGTCGATGTTACTGTAGTTTTGCGCACACACATATATCGCACAGCACAGCACGTATGCATAACGTCAAACCTTGAATGAGAGCAACAGGTCGCATTATTACATCATTGCGCCTTGTCGACTTGTTTATCGCTTGATGGATGGACCGTGTCGGCTAGGGCGCTGGGTGCCGAAGAGCACACGCTGGACATTGTCTCCGGGCTGCTCCAGGCACTTGCAGTTGTCCCTTCAACTTTACCTTGCGCATGGCACTGGGCGGGTTTACGGGAGCCAGGTGATGACGGACTACCACAAGGGCGCAGCCTGCAAGAAGGCTTTGGATTGCAGAGTTCCTGTCTTCAGTCCTTGTGGCTCAGACCTTGTGACTCAGAGTTTCGGCGCCCAGGCCTTCGCTTTCGGCTTCAGCTCGGGCCTCGTGCAGCTGGTCTACTTGGTGGGCTTTTGGCTCAGTGCGATCATGATCAGCAGCGGCAAGTTCAATGCCGAGCAGGCGCCCTTGGAAAACTTCAATTCTTAGAAACGTCGCAGAGCAGAGCAGAGATGGTGCTCCGAGGTGTTGTTGACCCTCTTCTGTGTGACCTTCGGCCTTCAAAGCGTCAGCATGATCGCCATGTACCTGCCGGACTCGGCCTCAGGTGCTGTCGCAGCCGCAGAGGTCTTCCGGCTCGTCGACCTGCAGTCGAACATCGACGCAGTGGAACCTGAAGGGCGGATCAACAGCCTGGGAGACGGGACCATTCGCTTCGAGGATGTGGTGTTTTATTATCCTCACCGCTCCGAAGTCATCGTGTTGAATCGGCTGTCCCTCGAGATTCGGCAAGGACAAAGGGTGGCCGTCGTCGGCTTCTCGGGAAGTGGCAAGTCCACTGTTATCCAGCTCCTCCTGCGCTTCTATGATCCCCAGCGCGGTAGAGTCAGCATTGGAGGCCAAAACCTGATCCAGCTGGATGTGGCTTGGTTTCGTCGTCAGGTAGCTCTGGTGGGTCAAGAGCCCATACTTTTTAATATGTCTCTGGAGGACAACGTGAAGTACGGGCTCCCTGGTGCCAGCCATGAAGAGGTGCTAAGCGCTGCCCGTGGTGCAAACATGGACTATGCGTTGGACGGCACGAAGCCCTGGTCTCATCGCGTCGGCCTTGGCGGCGGGAAGCTGAGCGGAGGCCAGAAGCAACGCTGTGCCATCGCACGGGCATTGCTGCGCCAACCGAAGGTGCTGCTCTTGGACGAAGCCACCTCGGCGCTGGATGCTAAATCGGAGGTCCTGGTGCAGCAATCCATCCAGCAGATCCAGGCCACCACCATCACAGTCGCCCACCGCCTGTCCACCATCCGGGACTCCGACAAGATCTTCGTCCTTGCAGAGGGTCGGCTTGTTGAGCAAGGCACCTATGCCCAACTCATGGCCATGCAAGGCAGCTTTGCCCAGCTGGCGGCCAGGAGCTTATGATCCCGTGGGCCTGCATGCCCGGCCTGCGCATCGGTTGCAAAATTTGCTTACCTTCTTTCGGCTCGAGTCCAATACGCCTTTCAGCAGTGCATTATTTTTTGGCTTTGAAGCAGGCTCGCCTCGCATCGCTGGGCTCAAAACAGCTTTTGCAGATAGCAGGCACCATGGGCCTGGCAAAAAGAACTCCAAGAGAGCCCCTTTCTTGAAAGTGCCCGTTCAAGGCATCGCCCTATTCAGTGCAGGCACTGGACCTACTCTGCAGTCGAGCAGGCATCGATTCATGGAGCACTGGCCAAACAACAGCAAGTGGCAAGTGCAAGGCAAGTGCAGCTCAGTGCAGCTCCTTTCCGGCCTTCCGCTGCATGGAATTCCACGCCTCTGCGATCAGCAGCCGGCAGTCAGAGGTGCCTTTGCATTCTCGAAGGGGCCCTGCAGTGACTGCCCTGTCTCAGGGAGCTGAACTTCTTCGGCTGCTGAAGGATCGTAGTGAGGCTCTGTTTCCGCCACTTGCAGAGGAAGGTAAAATGAGTTGATGGAGTCGTCAGTGATTGACCCTCAATCGAAAAGCCCTGGCAGCATGGCTGCTGTGTCCGCGCATAAGGGTCGCAAATGGTCATGTCATAAACCGGATGAACGCCCTTTGAAGCCGAGGAACGAGAAGGAAAAGGATGGAAAGGACTGGGTTGGAATGCGCCGCGCGGAGAGTGGGTCAAGCCGTAAGCCGTAACACCGCAAGCCTCCAGGACAGGTAACAGAATGGAGCGACATGAGTATGCCCTTCATGAACTCGGCACACGAGGATTTCCAGGTCCACATGCGCCAGCGAGTTGCCTACGGAGCCCTGGACTTTGCCAAGACTCCTGTGCAGCTGCTGCGGCTCGATGGGACTAAGCCCTCAGACCGGGGGCTGTGCCGTTGCGGGCTTGGCCCGTCGCAAGTGACGGCTAGTGACGGCTACAGGTTTGCACGTGTTGAGATTTTGACAAAAAGAGATTCCGGTTGGGTTTGGTTAGGGAGAGGCCCACGTCTTGGAACGCGGTGTCCTGTGCAGCAGTGATGTCAACATCCAGATACTGCAGCACTGAAGTTGAACTCAGCAGGCCTGTCTGAAGAATTGATTTGCCTGTATTGAGGATCAGCGTGCACCTCCTCACTTTCTACCAGCAGGTGCGCCTGCCCGGTGACCCAAGCAGAAAGAATGTGAACAGATGGAGAGCATCCTGGCTCTCATAGGCGGAATTTGTCCTGATGCAGCCTTGTCTGCTTGACGTCACTTTTTGTTTACTTGGTGCTTCAAATGTACTTGGTGCTGCAATTCTGCGTTCCCGTGGTGAGGCCGGGGCCTCCTTGGGAGCGATCGCCTTCTTCACCTCGACCGCCCGCTGCTTCGACGTTTTGTCGGATCCGCTGATGGCACAGGCCCGGAGTCCCGGAGCCGAAGCCGAAGCCCCCGTTTTGGCTTTGAGAGTTCAGGGCCAAATTCGTCCAAACCGAATGGGTCTAAACCGAATGGAGCAAAAGCAGCGCCCCTGTTGCTGAAGCTGCAGCGGACGGCGGCATCTTATTGGTCAACTGTCTCATCCGTCTGCGAAGCAGGCGATGTGAGTGGGACAAAACCTGCTACAAGTCCCCAATGCTGTGGTCCTCCGATTGCTGGGAGATATGAATCAAGTCTGTGTGTGCCAGATCTCGGATGGCTTTTCCTCAAGGTTCGGCCGCCGAAGGCCGCCTCTCGCCTCGAAAACTTTTTAGGGGCAAAGGTTGAGCTTGGTGATTCATGTGAGTGGGTGTAATACCCATGTCTGTGTGCGTTGCTGTGCTGCATGCTTGTCTTTAGTTTGGCGAGAGCTCTGACAATCATGATGATGATAACCATGGTGATGAAGATGAAGATGAAGATGAAGATTACAATGATGATGATGATGCTGGCGGTGAAGAAGAATATGATGATGCTGATGATGAAGATTACAATGATGATGATGCTGGCGGTGAAGAAGAATATGATGATGATGATGATGATGATGATGATGATGATGACGACGATGAAGAAGATGACGATGCATTACGAGGCTTTATGGCTTCAGTCTCCAACCGTGAATTTGTCCCCCGATACAGCACAGGTTCGTTTTCGCCGGCTGCCTTCTTTATGGCGGATGCCTCCTGGTGCCTGGCCGCAGAGTGGCCATTCTTGTAGTTCTTGTGTTCCAGGACTGCCCCAGTCGTGACCAACCCCGTCACAGCTCAAAGTCCCAGACGAGAAGCCTCTGGACCCTCACAGCCGAACCCTTGCCACCTGCCGCAACAACCTGTCGAGCGTCGAAGCTCCCACAAAGCCTCGAAAGGAAGCACCGGCCAGGCACTCTGCACACCTCCGGAGTCGCTTTCGGGGGCCAGCACCGGCGTTTGGTTCGGGTGCCTCGCCACCAAGCGCGAAGCACGGGTGGAATCATCGGGTTATAGGGAGCTTCGCCGAGACAAAAGAGTCAGCTGAAACTCCCAACGAGCCACGGGGCAGACTATGACACAGCGTAGCCGTCCTAAGCCTTCAGGATGGGGATGCCGGGCTTTGGTTCGGTCTTTTCTGTACTCGCCATGTGAGTCCGGTTTGGCAGCAGTTGTGGTCGGGGAAAACTAGAACCAATCCTCAATCATCATGTTAACGGTACGACTGGCCAGAAGCCTCGAGTCCGTCATGCCCAGGTGCTTCTACATCCTCTTTTTCCTGACAGATACGCCTCGGGCTTTGCCAAGTGAGGATAGCCGCACCTGCAGAAGCCAAAGCCTTTTATCCATCTGTGGTCGGTCGTTGCCTGGCAAGTTGTCGACCCTCAGACTCCGCAAGCTGCGATTTGTGGACTCAGGCTTATGTCAATCCCTCACAATGCGCTCGGGCAGGAGATCACTTCAGACACCGATCAGAGGCACGATCGAATCCTGGGATTCTCACTTCGCGAGCCAAAAAGGTATATGGTCCAACAGCGAGATCCTTTTAGCTTTTATTCAATTCTTCACCTCCCTCACCCAGAGGCGCCTGGTTTTCATGGTGGCCAAGATTTTCCAGGCAGGTGCAAAAAGATGCTTTACGTAGCGATGTTGAGTCCGAGCACTGTGGCCCATCTTGCGAATGGCAAGCATAAGCTTTGCTGCAGCGGCTCGGCATGTTCCGGGGCTGCTGGATTTTTCCAAAATCCCCCGATCTGAAGCACTCTTGTCCGCGCTGCTTCGGGCTCCTTGTGGTGTTAGTCGCTCATGATGGCGATGTCGTGATCGTCGTGGTGCTCCGACGTTTTGTGAGACCTGGCCAGGCTCTTGGCATGATCGCGGCGGCGGCTTTACCAGTGTTCCTCGGCTCGCCCGAGGGGCCTGGCTGAGCCAACGTCGTCTCCGAAGTGTGCCGGGTCCATCCCTTTGGTTGCCAGTTTTGTATCCTTTGTCTTTGTCTTCGTCCTCTGTGATCGGTTTGGGAACGTCTTCCTCAGCCCAGGCTCTTGGGAACTCTCAGCACCTTGGCATGACTGGCATGGCGTCCGACGTCCCGGGGTTTGGAAGCCAAGGCGCAGACTGCAAGCTGCCCGCCGAGTGTCATGGGACCGCTGCAGAGGTGTCCGACTTGGTGGACTGATGTGATTCTCGCTTCTGGCTTCTCATTGTCTAGATGATGAAACCTTCATGGCATCTACCCCTTGTCTGCCGTGAAGTGATATCACCAAAAGGATGCCAATGCCGCAAAGTCAACCATCCAGGGCTCGAATGAAGCCACGGTCGCCTGTCTCTGTCCATATTCAGCCTGTCCCTGCCACCAGGATCACTGTGCAGCGCTGGAGCGGAGGTGATGCTTGTCAGCCATGAGACGGGGTTCAAGATGGCCTCAGCTCAATTCGGAAAATGATGTCTCGGGCCAACCACCAGCGCAGGGAACCACTTACAGTTTTGTGACGAAGCCACTTGACCAAAAGACTCCGTCACGAAGCTAGTTTGCCGAGTCCTCATCGAATTCCAGAGTTGAAGGCGTAGCCCGATGCAGTCTGGTGCTTTGTTTGTAGCACGGCGAATGCACTGTTTCTCAAGAAAACGTTGTTGGAAGTTGAAAGCGAGTTCCTAATATAATGGGCCGGTATCCGAGCATCTGGCCACGGCGAGGTGCGTGCACGAAGCACTTGACAGCCACAAAGAACAAACGAAGGGGAGCCCCGAAAAAGTAGACCCTTGAAGAGTTTCCTTGTGTTTCCATCAGGGCTTCAGAGGTCGTTTGTAGTCCGAGTGGCCCTCACGTTGGCTGCTTGGAACGCAAGCCTCGCCTGTTTCTCCTGCAGGCAGCCGTCTCGTCATCGTTAACCGCTGTTAATCTTGTAAGCAAAATGGCCGTGGTCCCTCCCCGCGAGTTGATATTCCAGAAAAAAACCGCCAATGCAGCAAATGCTGCCGGATTTAAACGTGGCCAAACGAGCTCAGGCGATGGTATTCAGAGCCGACAGGCGATGCTGGAACCTTGGTGCAAAAAGTTCGATATTACGTTGCGGGAGTGTGCTCGTTGATCAGCGTGTACGAAGCCTGGTAGTCTAGTCTGCCTGCTGTTGCACAGTCCTAGCCCCAGGAAGCCAGCAAAGTTAACTGTGAGTGACTTACCGCAGGGCGCTCTTTTCGGGCCAATGCTGAGACGGGAAAACGGCCGATTTTCACACTTGTAGCGGAGCCAGTGCCTGAATCCAGGCCAGCGCTTTTTAGTTGTATAGTTCGCACCCGCGGCGATAGCTCCCTCCCCGCCGCCATGACAGTTGGAGGGGGATTGCGGTTCAACTTCAGAGCCCAGGAAAAGCTGAGGATACCAAACTCGGATTGCTCGTTGCCGACGAGCGGTTGTCGCTTGGTGCAAAGCTCCTAGAGTCGCTCAGGGGCGATGCGTATATCGTATCCCAAGACTTGGGGCACGATGTACTGAAAGCTACTGATGCTATCGAGAAGATGGTCGAAGCGGTCCGAAAGCAGATCTTTCCTTTGCCACGAGAAGCAAAAAAAGCTGTACAGAGGAGGCTCCAGCAACGCTGGAGTCATGGCACGCCAGCCCGGCGAGAGCATGACTTCTTATGCACGAAGAAGGAAGAGATGGTATCGGAAGCTCAAGGTTCGTGCTGATCTACTCGTGGACAACTGTGGATTAGATCGCAAAAAGCGACTAATGATTCTCACTGCTGTCGGTGACAAGCCCTCTTTCGAAGCGATTGAGAAAGCCTTGATCACACAGCATGGGAAGCTACACTTCTTGGAGAGCAAAACAGCTCCCAAGACCCCAGGGTTTGTTCCCCGCAGAAATCCCTACAAGAGAAAAGGCAAAGGAAAAATGGGCTCGCAGTACCAGCTTAACACCGCGTACCTGGCCGATCCAAAAGAACTCTTCGATACTTCCGGAGAAGAATCCTTTTGGGATCCTGCGTACGAAGAGGAACTGAATCAAGCTGATGACCATGTCACAGCGTTCTTGGCTGCATCGCTTGAAGATTCGATCACCGAGAAAACAGAGCTGGATGTTATGGAGGCATTCATTTGTTCACCGAAGGAAGAAGTTCAAAGAAGTTAAGCTTCGTAGCACCTGTAAAGTGTGCGGCACAAAAGGACACTGGGCAGGCGACTGCGAATGCCAAGGCTGCCAAGGTAAGCCGATTGGTCAATCCAGCGCTACCAAGGCTGCGCACCTCTCCGCGATCTCCGCTAGGGACTCGGAAGAGACGTCTCAGCACGAAGCTTTTGTGGTTATTGACGACGATCCAAGCCATCCAGAAGCTTACCGGGGTTCTTTAGCCCGGAGGACTTTGCGGACGAAGACAAAGACGAAGAGCTCGTCGAAGATGGCTCTTTTGAGTTCCTCGAGCCTCCTCCTGATGGGTCGGACACCGTTCTCGGGTTCGAACTTCACAGGGGACGGGCCTTCGGGGAAGTGGTACGGGAATATCCCGACCACTTTATCTGGGGCATCAAAGAGACTAGCACAAGTCCGATGCTCAGAGAGTGTTCAGTGTTTTGCAATAAACAATACGTTTTCCCGCAAAGTACAGCCCAGAGAAGGGATCTTTCCCTCTCACAACAGGAGGCTGAAGACTTCGCTCCGGTGCGGGACTGGATTATGGCAGCAAACAGCGCCAAGTCCAAGAGCAAGCTTTCCAATCTAAGGCCGAGTCCTGCTGGACCGTGCCAAGATGGATGCTGAAGGCGGATGAAGAAGATTCGCCTCAAGCAGCAGTTGCTCCAGCTGACCCGCTACCTGGAAGAGTAGGACCACCTACTCGTGAAGAGTCACGGGCCGAACCCGTTGAAGAAAGGCCTACTATGGAAGAACCAGAGACCGAAGATGCTGGAGTTTTGTTTGACCCAGCAGAAGTTTTTAACGACGCCGAGAACATACCGGTACCTGAATCTCAGGACGAGTTTATTAGCCAAGTGGAGCAAACACTGCTCGCACAGTTTAGTGACGTACCGAAGTACGGTACCAAGAGCACTTACAGCAACAAGAACAAAGCTGCGCAAGGACAGGTGTTTACTTACGAAAAGTGTTGACCTGAGCTGCAGAAGGGAATTCACGGATCCCGAAAAGTCGAGTGGGAAAAGTGGAAGCAGTTCAATGCTGCTATAGGTCTCGACGAATACCAAAATCATGAGCTTATAGAAAAAGGCCACGAGGAAGTACCTTTCAAGTGGGTTGATGCTGACAAGAATGATGCCCTGAGAGGATTTAGCCGGATATAGAGGTCAAGCACAAGAGCCGACTGGTTACCAGAGGAGACCGCGAAAGCGGCGATATCAGATCGGATTCTCCGACCGCAGATATCGAAGCGCAGAACTTAGTTGTTAGTTTTGCTTCTTCTAGGAAAGTGATGATCAGCAGCGCCGACATTACAAACGCCTACTTCCAAGGAGAGGAGCTCGACAGACTCCCAATTCTTAAGCAGCCGAAAGGTGGACTCCTTGGAGAGCCATCAGACAGACGTTTTCTGGCTAGAGTACCTGTTTATGGGACTCACTCAATCATAGTGCAACTCGTAAAGGGTATCAAGAGAATTCTATTCTCACAGCACTGTATGCTTTGCACAACAAAAGAGGGACGTCTTATCGCCCTACTATGCACGCATGTGGACGACCTTTCATGGGCGGCCGAACCAGAACCTGAACCTATCATTGAGCAATTGCTCAGTGAGCTTTCCTGCGGAAGGATCGAACGACGTGAGTTCAGATACTGCGGGAAAGAAATCAAGCAGGCGGAAGATTTCTTTATCACCGTGACATGCAGGGAGACGACTGTGAAGGTGAAGCGTATCTTCATTGCACCCAAGCGCAAAGCTGCGGCCAATTACTTGAATATAGAGCAACCAAGTGATGCCGTAATCAAGAAAAGGGCGAAGCAGCTTCAGAGAAGGAAGACTGCGGCCCCTGCGGAACCACTGCACGAGATGGAATCATCCACTCTTAGACAGATTCCATATTCCACGGGCTTCTACACCAAAAAGGGTCACTGGTGTGGAAAAGGTGCGCGTTGATCAGCGTGTACGAAGCCTGGTATCCTAGCCCTAGGAAGCCAACAGAGTTAATTGTGAGTGACTTACCGCAAGGCGCCCTTTTTGGGCCAAGGCTCAGGCGGGAAAACGATCGGTTTTCATATGCGTTTTTGACTGCCATGTACGGTAGCCGTTACAATTCTTAAGACATGATTTTCCAACTATTCGGGGATCCAGGCTGACAGGCTTGTGGGAAGGCTTCATTTCGAGGGCGGACCACTCGGGTTTTTTTTCTCTGTTTAACGAGTCTTGTAGCCAGGCCCAGAAGTCATGGGAGGAGCGAGCAAGTTTCCGGGCCAGGCCCATCGTGCGATTAGAGACTTCCACTGGGCGCAAGGCTATTTATGCAAAGCTGACAACCTCTACAGATCTCTACAGTTTCAGTGCAAGACGAATCTCTTGAATTGTGTGCATCAGACATAGGTGATATTTTCGCATGCAGTGCAGGAAGTTGTTTAAAGAGTTTCACGTCACTTCTCGAAGGTCTGCAAATCAAGGGTGCAGGCCACTAATATGAGCTGGCCTCCCTTGTCGAGGGTTCCGCGGCTTACCAGGGTTCTCTGTACCCGTGGCCCACTGCAAGACCGCAAGAGAGCGAGCCCATTGAGACCGTTTCTCAGACAAGGCAACAGGCCTCATCTTCGGCGGTGTTGCCGTTGCTTCAGGTGCACCGGCTCTGAGCTTGACGGATGCATTAAATTGTTTGAGTTGAGAATTTACGGCTCGGGGTGGCGCTTCGGGCTCCCGATGAGAGCCCACTATCAACTTAGGCGAGGTGTCATGACGGCTAGAGGGCGCAAGATGCAACATCATCATGCCAGAATCAGGGCGATCCATGACGAAGTGGGATCCCTGTTGAGTGCCTGTCGTAGGTTCGTCCTAGCCAGGCGGAGGGAAAGAAATGAGTGCCTGTAGATAGTTCTCCCCGTGCCTTTGCACTCTTCCAGGTTTCGCCTGTGTCGCGGTGATCCGTGAGCGCAAGCCGGTTCGTGAGGAACGGGCTCGATGTTCAGGGTTCGAGGCTTCGATGGTTTTCTTATCTGCCGCTTCACACTAAAGATAGCTACCATAACCATCCCTGCCGTGTCTTCACCTCTCGGACTCTTGGGCTCTGACGAACATGTCGATGCTGCATTCGACTTGCACGGCCAAGCTCTTGCCTCAACACTCCCTGCCAGGGTGAGGATGGACTCTTGCAGCACCGGAGCCCAGGCAACGATCAGCCAACGACGCTGTGTCTGCAATCGGGGTTCTCTTTGGGGGAGGCACCTTTGCACGAAATAGAGAGTAGACTCAGAAGCTCGGCTTGCCTCGGCTTCAGGCGTGAGCCGTGGGCTGGGTTAGGGTACGAACACGCGGTAGGGCCTATTTTTGTCGCAAGTCTTGTTTTGCACCTGTGTTTTTGTTTCGCGTGCTCGGAATTAATATTAGTAATATACTAGTAATAGAACTAATGAGTGGTAGTAGTAGTGTTAGTAGCAGTAGTAGTAGTAGTAGTAGTAGTAGTAGTCGTAGTAGTCGTACGTAGTCCTAATAGCAGTAAGCGCCCTCCCAGCAAAAAAACCGACGCCAAGCTGCAGGGCATGGAGATACTGAC